TTAAATGGGACCTAGAGACTTATGTAATAGTATTTCAAATAATCAGAATACATTCCAAAATCGCTGGGTATAAGAAGAAAAAATAAGACTTAAACTTACAAGTAACAGGTATGACAGACATTGGAATGTCTTACAGAGAATTTAAATGAGCTGTTTTAAAACTCCTTCATAGTAAGTAAATTCTAATACATGGAAAATAATTGGAAGATGAAGAGTCCAGTGAAGAAATAAAGATAGAAAGAAAAATCAAACAGTGTCCGGTGTTGTGAAAAGGTGGGGGCAGTGCAAGATGGCTCAAGTATTTGGGCCCCTGCCCCCACTTGGAAAACCTAGATGAATGTCAAGGCTCCTTGCTTTTGCTTGGCCCATCCTTTAATCTCGTGGTGGGAACCAATGGATAGATCTCTCTCGCTCGCTGTCTCTCAACTCTGACTTTCAAATAAATACGTAAATCTTTTTTTTTAAGTCCAATGAAGGGGCCAGCCTGATGGTTGGTTTAATTGATTAATCCTCTGCCTTCAAGTGGAAATATTCTTCAGGAAATAAAATTGATTCAAGGAAGTCAAGCATTTACTGTGAACTAATGTAGGCTAAAGCAATTAAGAAACAAAGTTCCGGGCCAACAAATGTGGTGCACATCAAGCCACCAACTACAGCACTCATAGTCTTTATGGGTGCTGGTTCAAGACCTGGCTGTTCCAGTTCCAGTTCCGCTCCCTGTTAACGTGTCTGGGAAAGTAGCAGAAGATTGCCCAAGTGCTTGGGCCTCTGCGTTCACATGAGAGACTAGAAGAAGCTCCTGGCTTTGGATAACTTCATCTCTGGTGGTTGTGGACAATTGGGAAGTGAACCAGTGGTGGAAGATTTTCTGTGTCTCCCTTTCTTTCTCTCTGTAACTCGGCCTTTCAAACACATTTTTATTTTTTTGATCCTGTCATTGATACTGTCTCAACACATGTGTTTCAAAAAATTGAACTTGCATTATTTTTAATATATTGTTTACTCAATACTATGTCAATCAATTCCATAACACTATATATTGTTGCTGATGTTTTGTTGGGGCTTTTAACTGACCAGGATTTTACTCTTAGCTTTGCCTTCAGACCAGGGAAGGCCTCCCCAAGAAGCCGTTATATGTTATCATGACAATAGGATGCTGGACTCAATGCTGGGTATGTGCTTGCAATGAAGGAATCTCAACTGAACTTGAACGGTGGTTATGCACCATGGGGGAGGGTTGTGGGAGGAGCGGGGGAAATCCAAGCACCTATAAAACTGTATCACATAATACAATGTTATTAACGATTAAAAAAACCTCTAAAAAAATTATTTCAAAGCAAGGTTCTTCACACAAAAGTGATGCTATAACAACAAAATTGGATCATCAGAAATGAAGGAGGGGACAAAAGAAGCAGCATTTTGCTACAAAAAGAAAACTGAGAAGACAGGATTTTAGGCCTTTTTGTTATAAAGAAATGTTTAATGCTTAAAGAGATAAATATATTTACCTTGATTAGATATCGCACAACGTATACAATAGTATACATACAAGAAAATGTCACATTACCTTATACAACATGGTACCCTATACAAACTAGATGCATATACTGTAATAACTAGAACATTCACTTACATATTATAAGACATAATACAATTAAAATGGAAATGTGCCTTTCCAATAAACATTTTAAAATCTTTTAAAAAGTTTTCTTTAGTTGAAAGGCAGAGTTAAAGAAAGAGAGTGAGACATACAGAGAGAGAAATCTGCTGTCTGATGATTGACTACCCAAATGACTACAATAGCCAGGACAGCACCAGGCCTACACCGGGAGCTAGCAACTCCACCAGTGCGCTCCCAGATGGATAATAGCGGCCCAGGCACTTGGGTCATCCTCCACTGTTTTTGCCAGGCACCTTAGCAGCAAGTTGGATCAGAAGTGGAGCAGCCAGCACTGGTGCCCATGTTTGTGTGGGATGCCAGTGTCACAGGCAGTGGCTTAACCTGTTGCACACCACAGCACCAGCCCTAGCTACAGGCTTTCTGCAGCTGCTATTGAGCAGGCTGAAGGCATTCCTTCCTATTGCTCATCCGCTGGGCCACTGGATATTTTCCAATCCTCCTTTTGCATCTATTTAGGCACCTAAACCACTGAGCCAAATGTCTACTCCCAAAATCCCTTTAATCTCTTACATTCTGTGTCTTGTGAGATTCTACAAATAAGGAATCAACACTCCATTTCTATCTCCTACTATCAATACTTTTGGAATCTTGCTTTCACAAAAATTAGAAAAAGAAGGATATCTGTATCCAATGATCTATTTCTATAACAGTGTTGCCCATCAAAGCACTCCGTAGCTCAACACAAGCACCGATTTAGTCCTTGAGTCTGTGGTTTGGAAACTCACGCCAGGTACAGCTTAACAGTTCTTCTGAACAAGGCAGGCTCCCTGGTATGTCTGGCAATCATTTGGTTGTGAGCTGATCCAAGATGGCTGTGGCTGAGACTGCTGAACTTTGCTCCACATGTCCAACAAGCTAACTTCAGTATGCTCTCACAGAGATGGCAGAGAAACAAGACAGATGGAATGTACAAAGCCTCAAGTCAGAACTGACATTCATTGCTTCTGCCATATTTCGTTAGGCAAAGAAAGCCACAAAAGGCAACCCAGATGCGAGGCGTGGGGGGAGTAGTTTCTTGCCCATGACTGAAACTGAAAAGTCACATGGCAAAGGGTATGGATCGAGAGTGGGTAAAGTGTTGGAATAACAACTCCAATTTTTTTTCCCATTTCATTGTAATTTATTTTCATTAGTATTTTCATTTTTTAACCATGCTTTCACATTCAGTTTGTAATAGCTATTACTGCTCAGTTTTAACTAATTCAGCACATCTCCTGGACACTCAGTTTGTGAAAAACGCATAGCATTTTCTGAAAACGATAACACATTCTAGCAGGATGTGCAAAAAAGCTCTGGCCTTAAGACAGACCTAGATTCACATTCCACTTCTGTGACTCAGTGTAGGCAAGGGATTAAGTCCCAACCTCCCTTTCTCATATATGAGCGTAATGATCTCATAGGGTTAGTGTTAGGCAACAGGTACGCCTTCACTTCATTACTTATTTTTATTTTTTTCTGATTCGTGTTCATAATCAATCTGACCCTCTAGAAACTATGGATGTTCTCAAGATCATGTCTGGAATATCTTAACATTCTTTGTACACTCCAATGTACAATTCCTAGTTACTTTTATGATTTACTTATTAGAGAGCCAGTATAATGAATCAATGGCCCAAAGCCTTGGGACCCTGCACCCACATGGGAGACCCTGAAGAAGCTTCTGACTTTGGATTGGCTTAGTTCCAGCCGGTGATGCTCTCTGGCGAGTGAACCAGTGGATGAAGATCTTTATCTCTAGTCTCTCCTCTCTGGAAATCTGCCTTTCCAATAAAAATAAATCTTTAAATGATTTCACTTATTTGAAAGGCAAAATGATAAAGGGGGAGAGGGAGAGATCTGTCTGTCCACTTCCAAAAGGAATGTGACAATCAGGACTGGGTCAGGTCAAAATCGGGAGCTAGGAACTGGATCTATCTGGGTCTCCCACTTGGGAGGCAGGGACCCAAGTACTTTGGCTGTTTTCCGCCCTCCCTAGTGCAGCAAGCTGAATTAGAAGCACAGGAGAACTTGAACCAGCACTCTGATATAGGAATGTTGGCACTCTAAGTGGAAGCTTAAGCCACTGCATCAGTGTCAGCCTCATATTTCAGCAGGCTGTAGGATACCACCACTTCAGTATCGTAAGTCAACATTTCCACAAAACTTCTCAGAACTATAGCACCTTCCCCAGACTACAGGTACATATATGGGCACTCCTTTCTAACTCATTCCCTACAGGTACATATACCCTCCTCTATCAATCTATTCCCATGTCCTCATTTATTCCTTCAAAGACACTTTTTGCACTCACAGCACACTATTTCCCACCATAGTAGGATTCCTTGGCTTTTAATACCTACCCTCAACTACATGGCCTCATCTCAGCCAACTAATTCTCAGTTTCATCCATTTCAATACTTGAATTCACATTAAAAAAAGATATTAACCAGAACAACTTTACAATTGTTTTTTTTTTGGAGATTGAGTTTGCAATCCAGGACACTTAACTTCATCCTTCTGAAACTGTTTCTTTGGCTATACAATAAGCTCACCGACTTTACCACTTGCAGAGTAAAAGGCAATTAGGAAATGATGTTTATCCAGAGCATCATAGACCTCTTATTCCCTTTTGTCTGGGTTCACAGATGTTCTCTCTCATTTAGAGTAATCTTCCTCCCTTCGGTGGCACACATTCTCTCAATACTTCCATGTCCTGTTTTCACTGGTCACTGTATTTCATAATTCTTCACAAATGTAAGAATCATGCCATTTTTCAACTATTACACAGTATGCATGGCAACATGAAATTGTGCTTCTCCATCTATACTATGAATCTAAAGGAGGAGCAAGCATAGTGCCCAGCAGAATGCTGAAAATCCAGTTTCTTGCCAAGTTCTCATCTTGCCTGATGGACCTGACCTGCTTACCCACCCACCTAAATGAGTATCTATGGTTTTAATTTGGTAAGGGATTGGTGATGTAGGAAAAGGAGGCTTTGCAATAATAAACCAGAGTTTGAATTCTGGCTGTAGCACGTAGTTCTGGGCAATTTAGCCTTCCTGAACTCCAGATTCAACTTTAAAATAAGGATGATGCTCCTGACCCCCAAGACTGCGGTGATGACAGGAGACACTGTTTTTAAATCAGCTAGTAAAGCACTTGGCACACAGCGTTTGCCCAGTGAATTACCTTTCTAACTCATTCCCTGTACAGTCCTTCACAAGTCAACGTGGACAAACTATTGTATCTGAAATCAGTATGCAACAAATACCTTGGCGCTCAAGTACAAGCACAGACACATTCAAATTCTTCTTTTATGGTGCTTTTATTTAATGTTCACAAATCATTTTACACATTCCTTTTCACAGGTTCATTATTTATAGTAAAGATCAGCATAAAACAGAGCACTGGAGAGGACCAATAAATTACTATCAGTGATAGCACAGAGTACAAAGGCTCCGAAAGAACAGAGTGAACAAGAGCGGTGAACGGCCACCTTCTACCACGCAAGAACAGACAAGCCTCTGCTTGTTATTTCTTCCTCACACCAAATATAGCCCACAGAGGAAGGCATCCTGTTCCCGCATGACTGCCTTCTGAGGTCTTCAGAATATAACTGGCACTTCAAGTGACCAGATGCATCCCTTTTCACTATCAACACCTGAATAAGCCAAGGTAAATTGGGATACATTAACCATCCCTCTGGGAGAATTAAAAAGAGGCAGAAGTTGTCTGATATCTCAAGACACTGAGAAAAGGGAGATGATGCGTGGTGGCGGTGGCGGAAGGGGAAAGGAAAAGGGCTCGAGGAGGATGAGGCCAGCAAAGTCAGCTCTTTCCAATGTGCAACTGTTCCTAAATTCTCTGATCCTGCTGATCTAGTGTTTCACCAATGGGGGTGGGGGGGGGAGAACCAGAGTTCCTGAGCCCTAGTCAGTTCTAGCCTAGTAACAGGGAGCACACGCTATGGAAAGGTGGTACCCTTTTCACGTATATAAAGCAATTTAAAAGTCTGTCCCACTATGCTCTCATCCAACATGTTCTTCCTGTTGTAAAATCAAAATTGCACTTTTCGTAGAGGTCAGGAGATGCAGGAAAGACTGAGCCACTGTGCTTCACCAAATCAACAGGGACAAAAAGTGGCTGGGTGGGTCGCAGGGGCTGAGGTGGAGGAGGAATCGGAGTGGCTGCTAATGGATACCAGGCTTCTCTGCAGGGTGATGAAAATGGTCTAAAATTAGCGATGATGCTTGCACAACTTTGTGAATATACTAAAAGTCACTGAACTGTACACTTTTAAAAGGCTGAATTTCATGGTAAAGTATATCTCAATAAAGCTGATATAAAAATTCTTAAAAAAATAGTGTCTGGCACACAGTAAGTGGCCAATAAATGTTAGCTATTATTAGAAGTAATATTATTGTCAGCATTTGGCCATCCTAAGGCCAAAGTAAATCCCTAGAAATTCTCTATTTGTAGTAAAATCTCACAGAATTTAGAAAAATGTTTCCAATTTACATACATAGATTAACATTCATACGTTTCTACCCAAATGCTTCCAAAATTAACAGTCTAATTAAGAATCGCTTTACACTGGACTAAAATAGCTGCATGCAATGGATGTTTTGTCAAATCAGGATAAGCTTTAGCTAAGTTCCAATGACTAATGTTATCCAAGAACTTGAACTGATAGGAGATTTTCATTTTCAGCTCCATAAATAGTTTAGTCCAAATACAGTAAACAGAGTACATAAGGTATAACATTCAGTCTCCAAAAACAGGCTTCTCAGCCTTCTAATCACATTTTGGGGAGGTACTGTTTATAAAGACAAATATTCATGCCCTATGACTCTACCTTGTCCAAGAACCCAAAAAACAAAATAAAACAAAACAAAAAAACCACAGCAATGAAAAGATTCAATTCAACTCACATAATAAACCTGTGAAGAGGCCAAAGACTGTAGTAATTAATGGCTGACTTTATACAACTGTATGCACATTCAAACCAGTTGGCATCATTGAAGTATTTCTAATCTAGACAGCAATTAAATCCAGTCTTCAACTCTTGCTATTGCTAAAGAATATGACAACGGCATCTTGTTTTCAGAAGTAGGAGCAGCAAGTGATCAGCCCTGATGGCAGGTGATGCACCACATTGGGCAGTGCTGCTTACATGCTTAACTTTCATCTGAAGCACGACACTGCCCATTTCCCGTGCAGGGCTTCCTCGGTTGGAGGCCCCTGCCTTCCAGTTCTAATTTCTATAATCAGGCATGCACCTTTGCAGCAAATCAGGGAAAGTTGTACTGAAAGTAGACAACTTCCAGACATTCAGATCTTAACATCTGTCACAGAAAGTAATGTACATGTTTGCATATATTAAGGAAATATTCACATCTAATTTTCATAAAGAGACAATGAAATCTCCATTTTATCCACCTTCACTTAGATAGAAACCATTCCCTGTGTCACTGTCACCCAATGGTGACAGATTAATACACAGGATGAGCTGCCCAAGTACTTGATATGCATAACTCCTCCCTATGTACACACATACAAATCCCCCGAAAGTTGTGGTCTTAGGAATTTCTGATCAAATATGTTACCTGAGTAAAATTCAGTGAAGACTTAGTTCCCTTTGAGAAGCATGGTAACTTCTTTAATTTTAACTTACAAACAATGGGACAGGTTATATATAACAACTTTGGAAAAGAAACATTTTTAGTATGAAGTTACAGAACTTGGTGAAAATGGATCAATTTCAAAATCAGGATGAGTTTCAAAATATTTCCTTTACCAAATTAAGACTGACACATTGAGTCTGTCCTCACACTTTAAAAAAGTAAACTGTAATACAGATATATACCCAACAAGTCTGGATAAGGCTGCGATAAAGGGACCAATTTTGCAGTCTGTTGCAACTGAGTACCTTTTCAAGAATCCATTTGGCCTAGTGCTGTGTATGTGGTTCATCATGGGATGGAGAAAAAACATTTTGGAATCATATTACCTATGTGTATGTAATCCTTAAATACAAAATGAATAAATATTTAAATTCTATAATAAAGAAAAAAATGTAGAATAAGCAACTCTTATCTTTATAACTAACTATACATTTACAACGAACAGCTTTCTGCCTGACTCCTAGCCTGCCTATTAGAGTTCCTCAATGTGCAATTTATAGAAGGCAACAGATCATATTACTTTAAAGGAGCCTTGGTTAGCTCAGAATCAGCTTGTCTCAGACAAACTGCTCCCTGAGCGGCCTTCACACTTGCGTGCATAAATCGCTGAAAGTACAAGTAGGTGCATCTGTGCAAAAATCTACTGGTCAAAGGGGGAGGGGCGTAAATCAGCTTCACCAATAAAATCGAAAACTAAGAAAATCAATTGCTATTTCCCAACCTGAAAAACACATATAATGTAAAAACTGCTCAACCCACTATGAAAAGGCAGCAGCAGCTGTAAACTCAACACAGCCTGCACTATGCTTTCAACATCCAGCTGTTCTGTTAATCAGCCACTGGAACAATCCCTTTGTGTTCCCATGGTTAAATGCAGGCTTCTGATGTATCTTCACTTTTCAGTTAGAGACCACACTATAAAGAATAACTTTCTTCGAACTATGAGGCATGCAAGCTGTCTCAGTCCACTCTCATGAAGAGAGGTCTGCCCACATGATAATATGCGTTAGAGAGCTCTACTTGAATACGCTCCAGTTATGGGCCACTGAGAACTTCCGTCCAAGGCAAATGCCACGCTGACTGTTACCATTCTCACAATACACAATGACATCAAGGAAGCAAATTAAAAACTAGAGTGTCTTCCAAGGTGCTGTTAAGCATGGCAGGAATGTGACTACACAAAAAGACTCAAGAGGCTGATTCTTAGGCTCTTTGTGGTTATCCTTTTTTAAAGCAACAAGTGTAGGAATTTTTTTGCAATCAAAAATCTGAATATTGGTTAGCATGCTTTTTCCTCCCACATCTATGAAACTCTCCCCTCTCTGAACCTGTCATTGCCTTTTGGAGCTTGAGACAGAAATTAGAGAAAATGGATAGAGGCATCCATTTTTACTTATGAAAAAAGAGGCATATTCTAATAGTCATAAGGCAATGTGTTTAAGAGCTGCACCTGAACTGGTATTTTCAAACTGAAAATAGCTACCAACTCTATTCAACTTGTAGGATGTATCCATGTGTTCCCAGAGTCATCGCCTGTCACCCAAAACGGACCACAATGACTCCCTCATGCCTTATGGAGGCATGATACTAAAGTGTAGTATGCACATATTTTTCAAAGAAATAATATTAAGAGGGAAAGGACAGCCTTTCAAACATCAGTTCCTTGTAAAAAGTGGCGACAGCGCTACCTGGCTCCCTTTTAATCTCTCCTACCCAGTAACCCAACGCCTCCAAAATGAGAGAAAAAAGGGCCAGAGGCTAAGTTGAATTGTGAACTGCATCTGAAAGATGCGTTTCCAGTTCACACATTTACTGAGCTGCTAGGGAGTAAAGGTGAGAATCATCCAACTGATAACGAAGTAGAAGAGAAAAACAGGATAAACTGCGAGAGCCTTCCGGTTGGGTGGCTGACTGTCAGCAAGAAACGCTGTGGAGGCTGAACAAAAGATAAAACAGAAAGGAACAGTTAATGAGGCAACATTGTCACAATTACTAACATTTACTAAACTTTAGTGTGCTGGGCAAAACCTAGAACAGTAGAATTACACTCAAAGTTCAGCTATTTGAAGGGACTTCAGAAGTTTTTGGAAAATAAAAAGGCACATTTTTTTTTTTTTTTTGGTGTAGTGACCTTTTGAAATCCATGCATTGCTTTTTTTTTTTTTCCATAACATGCATGTTTCATGAACTTTCCTACAGCTCCCTCACCTCTGTGATCCTCAGAGAAAAGGTCGTTCTGCAACATGCTTTTGCAGACAGCTGAGGGCTTCTGGTGTCAAATATTAAAGCGTTACAAGTTTTTGATCATTCCAGATAGAAAGTGGGGTTTCTGACCCTTTTCTGAAGTTACTGGACTGTGGTGAACGGACTTCGAAAGATGAGTAAGGTTTTTTGCTCCTGGGATCAGTGGTTTCACACTGTTACACATTTTGAGTTAACTGTTCTTCTTACGCCAGCATCTTATTTAAATACCACTTCTCTCGTCCACTCAAGAAAAAGTCCTGCTCATCTTTTCACTCCAGTTTCACCCCTGGAGGAAATCCTCCCCTGAACAATAACTTGATATCCTGCCATCCCATGTAGAACTGCCCAATTCCTTCTGCTGTGTCCTTGCAGAAACAGAGAAGTACTGCATAACGATGGTTACAAGCAACACAGAAATGTGGTAGGATAGAGTTCTTACAGGTATGTGATTCTGCGTTGGTTTAAAATTCGACTCTTACACTCACTAATAAAGTGTCTTAGAATAAGGTGTTAAACATCCTTGACCGAACCTCCCGGATAAAATGGAATTAGTATTTAGTACTTATCTATTAGGATTGCTTTGAGGGCTAAACATGACAATACATGACACAGCCCAATGCCAAGCATGTAATACTACAGTGCCTAGTCTATAATAAGCAATCCACAAATGCTAGCCATGATTTTATTACAATGAGTTTGTCAGAAAAAGGTCCATGTCATTTCAAAAGTCCTAAATGAGGACCAAACTGAACGTGGGATAATCTGTTTTTCCAACTTTGTCCATTACTTTAAGAGGAAAAAAAAAAGTGACTCTTTTTTAAGTCCAGAAACCCAACTCAGATAAGATGAATCCCCTCTGTGGATGCCATTGGCGAGAAGCATGTCACCCACATACGTCTCTGGAGTCAGCACTACTTCTCACTGGTCTTCGTATACTAAGATTCATGTTTCTATCTGTTCAGCTATTGTAGAGATGAGTACACACTTACCGATGACAGACCAGGCAAACATTACGATGACAACGAAAAGACGAATCATGAAGTTTATGGGTCCCTGTTCAGCCAAGAGTATCAATCGGCAAATCAGTAGCGCTACTGTCAGGGGGAGGATACAGTAACCCAACACACACAGACTCTGAAAAAATGAGCTAAAAACAACATCCATTGGTAAGCATCATGAATACAGCAGATCAGTATCTTCACACAGCTCATTATACAGATTTCTACACCGTTGATTACTGCTTCCTCCTGATATAATGCCTAAACCTCAATGTTAATTGCATGAGGATAGTCTTCTGTATTTGACACATGCTTTAATTTTCTCTTCCTATATTCTTCCTCTTTCCTTTATCCCCTTAAGAGGCACCCATAAAACACCAGATGATCTACTCTAATTCATAGAGACCTCCTCCTTTTTTTTAAAAAAAGATTTGTTTTATCTTATATTATTTTAAAGACTTATTCATTTTCATTCAACGTCAGATTTACAGAGAAAAAGATATTCCATCCACTGGTTCACTCCCCAACTGGCTGCCAACAGCCAGAGCTGGGCTGATCCAAAGCCAGGAGCCAGGAGCTTCCTCTGGGCATCCCACATAGGACCGGGGCACAAGGACTTGGGCCATCCTGTGCTGCTCTGCCACACCATAAGCAGGGAGTTAAATCAGAAGTGGAGCAGCTGGGAAACAAACTGGTGTTCATACAGGATATCGGTGCCACGGGCAGAGTTCCAGTCCACTACACCACAGCAATGGTCCCATAGAGATCCCATTCTCTTCCTGAACATCTAAGTTGGTAGTCCTTAACCCTTTTTAGTTTATAGATATGAGAATTTGTTGCAAGCTATGGGCCCTCTGTCCAGCAAATGTACATAATTTTTTCTAACACAAAAAAAATTCTACGTGTGACTTCAGACTCTGACTCTGGAGACAGCATCTGAAGCTTATCAAAGGAATCCGGATAATTTAATAAAACAATTCAACTAGGTTATCTCGGTTCACTGGTTTTATTTCCATTTTTAGTTTCTTAAGAGAAAGAGGAAAAGACAGAGAGAAAGAACTTTCTTCTGCCAGGTTCACTTTCCAAATAGCTACAAAGTCTAGGGTTATGCTGGGCCCAAGTCAGGAGCCCAGAATTCCATTAGAGTCTCACACATGGGTGGCAGGGACCTACACACTTGGATTACCTTCTGGTGCCTTTCCAGGCACATTTGCAGGGAGCTGGACAAGAAGTAGAACAACCAGAACTTCATCCAGTTTGCCAATTTGGGAAATCCACTGTTGCCATATCACATGCTCACTGGTTTTTAAGAGAGCTTTTCCCTGGCCCTCCTTTAAAAAAATCCTGTCTTTTCTTGAAAGATGCCTAAATAATCCAACTTTCTGAAAATCTAGGATATTACCACCTGGCAAAGGCTAAAAAAAAATTTTTTTTTAAATGATACTTACATGTTTCCGCCAAGAAGTTTTGAGTTGAGTGTGATGGTAACTGCTCCGAACCAGACAATGACAAATACTTCAGCAAACTGGGGTCCTCCATCTTTTTCATTATCGGATCCTTTTTGCAGCATCCTGTGACAAGGAAACAGCATGAAAACTGCCTACTCTTTTATTTGGAACAACAAAATCAAGACACAGGTTCTCAAACTCTGAACGAGAGTATGGTGCCATACCTGACCTGAAGATCTGTATGTGCCAAAGGGAAAATGTCAGGAGTATTTGACAAAAGCTTTCTTCACATTTCAAATGATTTAAGGCTACAAGGGCATTCCATCTGGCTTTGTTGGAATACTTAACTGGCTTGTCTTCATTGTTTAAGCAGAGGTTATAAATTGAAGGGCCAAATGAGGCACACAGACATTTTAAGGTGGTTTCAAACCTAAATGGACATTTTTCTAAAATTGACATTTTTCTAAAACTAGGAGGTATCACAAAAGAATATGTATATCTGGATTTTTCTTGAAATCCCAAAAGGCTTTCTAACACTAACTTACATTCTAAAACAGCAGCAGCCAGGTGCAGCTGGCACAGCAGCAAGGGCTATACAATCACCCTGCATACATTTATTTCTCTAGCCTTCAGACGCACTTGAATTTGTAACTGGAATTTTAGTTCAGATTCTTGGAACAAAAGAAGTCAATAAACATAGAAAGGTGTTGATTTTTAAAAGTAAAAACATACAGAATATTAGCAAAGGACTTTGCTTTGACATTGAATAGCTAACAGTCTTAAACATCCTCTTCAACAATTTTGCAAACAAACTTTTCAGACTTAGACTACCTGGACTTGGTATTATTTATTTTCCAAAAAATAGTAAGTAAAAGTAAGCTCACTGCAGCTTCTTATTACACAGCACAAAGAAGTCACATAATAAGTGCTGTCCTGCTAGGATGTTTGTTATTCTAGGTAGTTTTGGATTCCCTGGCTACGTATGTTCAATCTCAACTCAAGACAATATTCACAAAGAATACTGCAGTACTCATGACTTGTGTGGAGTCCCTACTGACCGTGCACGGTAGGACAGAAAGAATATTAACTAGCATGAAAATCCAGGAACCCAGACACTGATCTAAGTTCCATCACTAAGAATGTCACTTGGAAGTCCAGTTTCCAATACAAATAAATGGAGTCAAACTACATAATCTCTAAAGTTAACCATTCAAAACCCAAGAAAAATTACATTCTCAAGCTTCTGATATAAACGTTTTCATCAAAATATTGTGACTGGCTCCCTTGACATGTTTATGAAAGGCATAAGAAATAACACTGTACATTACTTATATTAGCATATGCTCAACATACATTTAAAAAAAATTAGTGGAGAAGCCAACAAATAATTGTTGATTTTAGCACTACTGAAGCTTAGATGTGGAAGGGATGCTAAAACTCTTTTATAGATACGGAAGAGACCAAGAATGGTTAGTAGGGAGAGATGTGTCATATCCTAGAAGCAGAGAAAATGGAGTCAGGAAACCTGAGAGTAACTTAGTGATTATTGGGTAGTCTGGAACCTTTCAACTAAGATCATCTATCAAAAAAAAAAGTAAAATAATATTGAGTTCTTGTTATGAGGCTATATAATGTCTCAGGTTAATATATAAAATCTCAGGTTAATTTTCCTTTTCCAGTGGAACCTTCTCCTTTGTTCCTGTCCCTTGATGTATAGAGAAATCTCAAAAAAAAAAATGTATAGGATCAGAGGTAAGTTTATTTTGGTGCAAAAAGTGTTTGAAATTCACGTTTTGCACAAATATACACTTATTTTTGGAAAAAAATATATTTAAAAAGATTTATTTTTATTGGAAAGCCAGAGACAGAGGAGACAGGAGACGCAGAGGAAACTCCACACTAAAGTTTAGTCTAGTTCAAGACTGAAAAAAAAAATGCAACTACAAATACTTACAGTGCCAGTGCCACACAGAGGATCAACGGTCCCCACAAGTCCCCTACGAAGCAAACAAACAAGATTGCAAATAAATAGGTGAGATTTGCTACCCTTATTCTGAGTATCTACCTCTTTCACTCTTGGAATTCACACATCAAGGGTTTTTTGTCTGTTCAAGTCTTCCCACTGCTCCAATTCCTTATTTACATTCCCGTTTCCCAAGTCTGAAAGTACCCTATATCTTTTACGCTTTGTTCATTTCCTATCCCGCAAGTGATTCTTCTCCCTATCAACTAAGCCAGATTCTAGCATGCTACAATTAAAGACCAAAAAAATATGCAGTCAAAAGACTTACGTGCCTCACCCTGCGTGTTCAGAAAGAAGACCACAGTGAAGTCATATCACCAATCCAAGACAAGGCTAATCATGCTTGGTTCACAAATGTGAAAAATGAAGCCAAGAAGGAAGTGACTTGCTCTAGGTTATAGGGAAAACTGAGCGGGACCGAACCTAAGCCACTTGATTCTTTACCTAAAGTTTTTGCCATCCTGTCATACCAAATCCTTTTCTTAATCCAAACATAAAACTAACATGGAATTGCTGTCCTTTTAGGTAAAACAACAACAACAAAAAACCCAACAAAAACAGCCCAATATTGGTAATGTCATAAGGTTAAATTTTAGCAACATGCGAGAGCTTTCTGAAAACCATAAAAGGCTCTGCAGTTTTGGCCTGGTGGCTAAGACCATAGTTGAGACAGCCACATCCCAGATTTAAGTTTCTGGGTTTGTGTCCCAGCTTCGTTCTCAACTTCAGCATCCTGCTATGGCCCCTGAGAGGCAGCAGGGGAGAGCTGGGACTTTGCCACCCACGTGGGAGATCTGGATTGAGTTTCTGACTCCTGGATTCAGCCCCCTGCCACTGCAGACATTTGGGGACAGATCTAGCAAACAGGAATGCTCTCTGTCTTATTTGCCTCCCCAATAAATAAAACCGTCAGCATCAGCTCCAGCAAAAGGTGACCGAGAATCAATACTTGTTGAGGATTAGTATACCAACAGTTTGGTTACATGGCTTAGAGCACAAGGACTTTGCTCAACCATCGGAAATAGTGATGACAGCTCTGCCTTTAAGTTGACATGTATATAATTTTCCTAAGAGAGGTGTATGTGTATGTGCCCCCCCACACACAGATAGTATGTTTTAACCAATTACATACGCAATTTTTAAAGATTTATTTATCTTATAGGAAAGGCAGATTGAAAGAGAGAAGGTGAGACAGAGAGACAGCTCTTCCATCCACTGGCTCACTCCCCAAATGGTCACAATTTCCAGAGCTGATCTGATCTGAAGCCAGGAACCAGCGCTTATTCTGGTTCTCCCACATGAATGCAGGGTCCCAAGGCTTGGGGCCAGCCTCCTCTGCTTTTCCAGGCCATAAACAGGGAGCTGGAAGGGAAGTGGAGTAGCAGGGACACAATCCTGCACCCATATGGGATCCTGGTGCTTGCAAGGGGAAGATTAACCAATTGAACCATCACATCAGGCCCAATTAACACAATATTTTGTGTATTTTGGAAAAGATGCAGAAAGCTATAATCTAACAATTAAAATTTTGTTAACCTTATTTTATCAATTGGAAGACAAGTCTAACGACATTAATATTCTACTTTTAATGAACTGAAGATCACAATCTATAATAGCATTTTTAGCTATTAAACTTACAATCTGTATATGTATGTATATCAAAAATTTACTACTCTATTTCTTTTTAAAATTGTATTTATTTATTTTCATTTTATTCGAAGGCAGGGAGGAGCAAAAACAGATCATCCACCTGCTAGTTCATTCCCGCAATGCTTTCAACAGCTTGGGCTGGACCAGGTTAAAGCCAGGAGCACAGGACTCAACCTGGGTCCCCCAAGGTGATGGCAGGCAGGAACACAAATATTTGAACCCTCATCAGCGGTCTCCCAAGGTGTGAATTAAAAGGAAGCCAGTATCTGGAGCTGCGCTGAGACTGAACCCTGGAAATTCTAACAAGGGGTATGGGCATTCCAAATGGTTTCAACTGCTGTACCAAGTGCAAAGCACCCATCTGATTATGTTTATCACTCAGAGGCTTGGCACACTCTCAGTGCTGTACTTCTATCACCGCCATCCATCTCCACATTCCTCCCCTGCTCCAGCATCTGCCAGCCAATGCTGCGGCAAAACCCAACCAACCCACACTCATTCTGACTTATGCATGCACCAATAGGAACAGTCCAACCCAGCCTGACTTTCCCTTGATCCAGCCCACATTAGGCCAACAGGTGTTGTAGCCCCACCCAGCCTGGTCTGCTTCCATCCTACCTCTTGCTCTCTCCAGTGGGAGTGGTGGTCCAGCAGGGGAGACCCACGCAGCCCCTCTACTGGGTTCACCCCCTCCCTACCTGTGTCTCACGTGTGCTGCTTGGGTGCTGCGGCCCAGTCTGGCCTGGCCCGCCTCTCCTGAACATCTGCCAGTGTGTGCTGTAGCCTGGCTCGGCCCAGCCCAGCCCCAGTTCCAGCTCAGGTTGGTGGGGGCTACAACCTAGCCTGGACCATCTGGTCAGACCATCTGGCCAGCCCCAGTCCTGGCCCTCATGTGAACTGGCTTGTGTTGTGGCCTAGCCCGGCCTAGCCACACTCCATTCTGGTGCTCAGATTTGCCCAGTCTGATACGCCCCGACCTGCGCCAAAAGTATATCATCAGTGGGTACCGTTCCCTGGCCTGGTCCAGGCTGCTCCCTGTCGTGGTTCTTGTGCTCACCGCAGGGACTGTGTCCCAACAGAGGAGTTAGTGGAAGATGTCTTTATATTCGGGACAACAGTGGTAAGGTGAAAAGGATACTGATTTTAAAACTGGATTGTAATCCTGCCTGTCTGATACAGATAGGATAACTGGCTTCCTCGAGACTCATTTTTCTTATCTGTTAAATAGGCGTAACTCCTACTCCACAAAGTTGTTGGAAAGATTAAGTAACAATGTGGCAGCAGAAGGGGGAGCTACCTATCATTTCTGGAGTGCCTGCCAGATACTAGAAACTATGCATGGTGGTTTATATGCACTTCTTTTTTTATTTTTAAAGATTTAGCTATTTTTATTGGAAAGTCAGATATACAGAGAGGAGAGGAAAGACAGAGAGGAAGATCTTCCATCCACTGATTCACTCCCCAACTGGTCTCAATGACTGGAGCTGCGCCAATATGAAGCCAGGAGCCAGGAGCCTCTCCCAGGTCTCCCACGCAGGTACAGGGTCTCAAGGCTTTGGGCCGTCCTCGACTGCTTTCCCAGGCCACAAGCAAGGAGCTGGATGGGAAGCGGGGCCACCAGGATTAGAACCAGTACCCATATGGGATCCTTGTACGTGCAAGGCGAGGACTTTAGCCACTAGGCTACCGCACTGGGCCCTGTGGTAAAGATTAGATATGGAAGTGCATATACGGCTGAGCACAATAGCCTAGTGGTTAAAGTTCTTGCCTGGCACGTACCAGAATCCCATATGGGCGCCTGTTCTAATCCCAGCAGCCCTGCTTCCCTTCCAGCCATCAGAATAACTGAGAGTTTTGAAAACAGAAATGTCAAGAAGAGTAATATCAATATGTCAGTCATTAATATCTGCTATTATTCTAGCTTAACATACAAAATGTCTGACTTTCCCTTACAGACTTAGTTCTTTGGTCAAAGTCCCTGTGTGTTGGCAGCTTGCAGAAATACGTTTTGAAATATCTACAGTAGCATGTCCCAGGTGAGAGCACACAGAATATACTTATTGAGAAACTAAACCAAGCAAAATGTTTCAACTCCTGAAATTCCACTCTAATTTTTCAATTTCTTCCAAAACTTGACAAATGTTTCCATCCCAGTTAATGACACCCGTCTTATTACCACAGAGCCTCTGTCTTACAAGTGCTTAAAATCCCAGTTACAATGGGATTAAAAATCCTTAAAAACCACACATACTCACAGTCTCTCAAAAGGGCACTGCTTTTCCTGGGATACAGAACATGCATGAATTTTTTCCCAACTGATTTGAGATCACGCATCTGAAAGACATAAGCAAACCTGTTGTAACATAGTGACCGAGATTGCCCAGCAGCCTCCTCACGGAATTTGCTAGAATTTCTAAATCCCCTGGGAGCTCTTCACTTGATTTTAGAAAGAAAACAGAGGATCAGGATATGCTTTTCTGACGGACCCCTTAAGCCAACATTAAGCTTTTCCACATCCATCAAAGTTCCATTTTGATTTTGAAAACTTCATAAAGAACACAGCCCTCCTGACATGTTCGTTAAAGAAACTAAAATAACAGAACTACAAAAAGCTCGTGTGCAGGACATGGTATGCGATGTTTGGTTTATATATGATGAGGTCTCAAGGTCCAATCAGCCCGCTCCCTAGACACCACATTTTTGGCAATACATAAGAGAAATTAATTTCCACCATCCCCAGTGTCACGAGTAAATGAATCCCATAAGCCAAACACAAAAAATAAAGATAAATCAGGAAGGGTTCCATAATGCAAATACAGCTTCTTAAAATACAACGGACATAATTCTGTCCTAGTTCTTTTCACCTAAATATTTCTCCATTTCATTAAAAAAAAACTTGGTAAATATAATCATTAATGGTTGCGTAGCATTGTACCGCGTGAACAGAACGGTTTGCTTAACACACATATCCCTTCGGCTGGGCACTTAAGTTGATTCCAACTTTCCATTATAATGAAAAATGCTATAACAAAAGCTCTTGTATACTGGTATTTTTCTGCGTCTATAAACTTTTGCACTTTGAAATTTTTTTCTTTATACTATAGTCAGAAACACAGAATTAGTGATTCAAAAAGATTCGTTAAAGTTCTTGATATTCATTGTATCTCAATTATTCGCTGCAAAGGCTGTGCCAAATTATTGTTGTGAGGAGAATTTTAAACCAATAAAAAATCAAATAGCAGTAAATCAAACAAAAATATTCAAGAGTGCGATGAGTTATTTAGAAACGCTCTCAACTCAAGTCGTCTGACTTACAATGGTGTTACGGACAGACTCATTCAATGTAGAAGTGTCAAATTCTCGAATCCTGGATCGCACAGGAATGGTGATTTCGCCTTCGATAGGAATGTCACGGGAAATGGCTATTTCAGAAAGGCCTGCAAACTGAGAAGAGATAGGAGGAAAAAAATTAAAACCTTCAACAAACTGTAGCATTCCTCAAAGACATCAATTCCTATAGCACACATATCTTTTTGTAGGATTTTGCACAGTAGTTACAGTAGATGTTAGGTCAACACACTTTAAGTAATGCACTTAAAACTATACTTCTCAAACAGTTACTTCTTTTCACTTAAAGGAGAAAAAAATATTTTTCATTACCTATCCCCATGTATTCAGATAGATAGTTAGATATAGATACGGATAAAAATATCCTATAAGGAAAAAATATAAACATATTTTCTTGCCATCAAATTTCTGGTTTCTTTAAACTGCAAAATCTCCACATGACACAAGCTATCATAACTGAGATCATTGCAGAGTTATTGAAACAAGTGATCTTTAAGAAAATACATCATAAGCCATACTGCTGCAGCAGGTCATCTTCGTAGGCTCTAGCGCCCGCTGCTGGCTAAAAAAAGCATTACATGAAAGGAGCAGGGAACTGGGGAAAGAAATTCATAGCGAAAGATATCTACATCTTTTACCAGGTTTTCCAGTAATACAAACCAAATAACTTTCAAATGGATAAATAACATGAATTTTCAAGCTGTTACATTTATCTTTCAAATTTATCACAACTGAAACTTTGGAATCTACAACTTTCTAAGAAAACAGAAGTAAGTAATCCTTTCAGCACAATTTTGGTCCAGTAGGCATAATTTTTAGTTAGCAACAACTGCAACTAAATGAAACACACTGAAATTCTAAGGAGAAATATTGAAGTTTCTGGAAGAAGTAGAATTTTAGGAAGTATATTCATGCTGTAGGAAAAATGAAGCTCAAAGAACTTATGAAAAATAAACTTTCAACTACACTCCTATTTTTTTTTAATTATTTTTATTGGAAAGTCAGATTTACAGAGAGAAGGAAAGACAAGAGAAAGATCTTTCAACTGATGATTCACTCCCCAAGTGGCCGCAATGGCTGGAGCTGAGCCAATCTGAAGCCAGGAGCCAGGAGCCTCATCCAGGTCTCCCTCACAGGTGCAGGGTCCCAAGGCTTTGGGCCGTCCTCGACTGCTTTCCCAGGCCACAAGCAGGAAGCTGGATGGGAAGCGGGGCTGCCGGGACACTAACCGGTGCCCTAAGGGATCACAGGGCTTGTAAGGTGAGGATTTAGTCATTGAGCCATTCATTGTGCCATCCTCCCCCATACTCCTATTTTTAAAATGTAATGAAAAAGCTGTATGATTTTTTAAAAATATTCCCTACAGAACAATGGGAGGGAAGCAGAGAAGCCAGACTTGTTTGAATACAGACTATTCTGTATGAGTTGAGATCATAGAAAATTCACATAATCATGGAAATTAAAATTAAATTTTAAAACACGTAATACTTGAATTAAATACATGCTACACTGAGAGCAGCTATTTCAACAGATCATATCATACTAAATTGTCTTGGTTGGAATGAAGAAAGCTGGAAAGAACATCCCCCCTCGCCATGACAATGAGAAACAGCTACATAAACTACAAACTGCGTAGCTGAGGTTGTAGGATGGCCAGACGGCCTGGATGAAATCGAATGAAAGAAAGGTGCTCCCGACACGGGATTTTGTATTTATCTACCACCTCAAAGTAAAAAAAAAAAAAAAAAGAAGAAACTGGACACGCCCAGCAATGATTAAGAACAAAATCTTAATTGCTCAAAGCCACATCTGGACTTGCACGGGAGTATGAAGTCGTAGAAGCAACAGAACAAGAGTTCACACCCACTTGCACCCTCTTCTCCACAAACTTCCAATGCCTGTTCACAAAAAAAAAAAAAAAAAAAAAAAAAGACTGGAGGGACAACAATGTTGCAAGTACAGGAGAAGGAAGCAGCTGGCACTCGGGCGTCGGGGCAAACCACAGGGCACCACCCTGACGTTTTCCTTGAAGCTTTTTGGGGAAGCACAACAAATTCTGTCTGCACATAGAGAAATCCAATGCAGCTGGGGAAATGGAAAAGGAAAATCTTTCTACTCCTAGAAAGAACTAACAAAGCCCCACTCAGGAGACCCAGAACACACAGCCTCAACAAAGAAACCCTCCTCTCTAATCTCTACCACCAGGTTAGCAAGGATAGGCTAAGAATCTACAAGAGTTGGCTGCTAGAGTTTGGAGATCTGACATGAGACACTAGGGCAAAGACAGCTGAATATAGAACCGGAATAAGAAAAACACTGGGACCACCTAGTACCCACTCTAAGTGCAAAGTCATGGTGGAGGAAGTTGAAGTTGCTGATGTGTGCCAGGCAAGCATGACAAAACCCAAACACAGCCGAACTCCTAACTAAACTGACTTAACCTCACAGTGGCAACAGAGCAGAAGAGGTAAGCGAGCTGTGCCACTTCTGACAGTCTATCGCTTTGGGCATGACACTTGGCCTTCAATTTTAAACAAAAAAAAGGTACCTCCCCTCACACACAATCCACAATGACAAGACAAAGCAAGTAATAAAACATGTCCCCGTTTTCAAAAAGGTAAGAAAAGAAATTAAGATGACTATAGTTAACATGTTATAAGCACTTAAGCACATACATGAATGATGGTGCGTTTCTGCAGCAATGGATTAAGAGTCAGATGCCAATGCTAGAAACAAATGAACAAAGTAACATGCAGAAGGCTTATGCCAGCCTTATTAGCAAACTCAGCACAGCCGAAGGGAAAAAGCCAATGCTAGGTCAGTAACCAAGACCAAAACTGACACAAAAAGAGAAGAGTTAAAAAAAGGAAAACAGAATAGAGCAACGAAGAGCTGCTAGACAATATTAAATAATATATTTAATAAATATTAAATAATGACAAGAGATAACAGACCTGGAAAAAAAAAGTCTTAAAAAAGACAATCATTGAAAAGTTTCCAACATTAATAAAAGACATCAAAATGACAGCCTCAAGCCCAGGGAATCTCCCAGTCAAGAACAATGCCAAGGATGTCTCTCCCTCTCCCTCTCTCCTTTGTTTGCAACCAAAATGAAAAAAAAAAAGAAAAAATGATCTTCAAAAAGATAAATGCCAAAAGACAAAAACAAACACAAAAATCCATAAAGCTCGACACACTCAAAACTTCTGAGTACTACTAACCTAGACAAAATCTTGCCATAGGAAGATACCTTGCAATCACAGAACTAGCTGTAAGGCGCCTCACCGGAAAACACACAGCGCAGGAGAAGATGGAGGGACCGTTTTAGAGTGCTACACAAAACTGTCAACCCCAAATGCCAAACTCAGCAAAACAGAGCTACAGCAAACAAAGGCCCAAAACAAGAGTTTTCAGACAAACAACAGCTCTGACATCACTACAAGATATTAGGTGAGGCTCTTTAGAAGCAGCACTCTGACTAAAAGGAAGTGGATTTACATAAAGAAATGAAGATCATACACACACACACACACACACACACACACACACACATAAGCAGTTGTCACCCTTTTTGTAAAGAGCCAAAAAATAAATACAAGGAAACTTCCAAAGTTCATAAACAATTATAAAATAATGCTGGTACAAATGATATTTTTAAATCCATGAGCAGGTTTTTTTTAGACATATTCATTTGAAAGGGAAAAAGAGAAAGTGAGAAAGAGAGAGACAGAGAGATCTTCCATCCACTGGTTCACTCCCCAAACATTTGAAAGAACCTGAGTGTTTGGCCAGGCCTAAGCCAGGAATCAGACAACTCCACCTGGGTCTCCCATGAGGATGGCAGGGACCCAAGCACTTACGATGTCCTAAGCTGCTTTCTCAGCTACATTAGCACAAGTGGAGCAATCCAGCATCACAAGGATGGCTTAGTCCACTGCGCCAACCCCTATGCAGTATTTCTTTAAACATGCATCTTCTGTGAACTTTCTGAAGCCTCTGTGCACTTCTGATTTTGAGAACCATATGCTTTCTGTTCTGACTATTCAACTTTGTTGGTCTAGCACGGAAATAATCAAAAACAATACACAACCAAGTATAGCTGTGCTCCCATAAAACTTTCTTTACCTAAACAGACAATAAGCCAGCTCTTAAACTAGAAAAACACAACATTTAGCAGATACTGTATTTTTGAACATTGACAAGATATGTGATGAAAAGGAACTATTTTTAACTGGGCTGTCATTCTTCTAAGAAACAGAATTTGCATTGCTTAGAGTTACTTATTAAACATTTACTAATTTAGTGATGCCTGGGATTTCCTTCAAAATAACATAGAATTGGGGAAAGCTATAAAAGAAAGATGATTGGTTATAAACCGATACTTACTGAAGCTGGGTATGTTGGGATCCATTTTACCATTCTACTTTTGTGTATCCAGAAATTATTTTTTTAAGATTTATTTATTTTTATTGGAAACAGATAAGATTTACACAGACAAGGAGAGACAAAGATCTTCCATCTACTGGTTCACTCCTCAAGTGGCACACACAGCCAGAGCTGAGCCAATCTGAAGCCAGGAGCTTTTTCCTCTCTCATGTGGGTCCAGGGTCTAAAGGCTTTGGACCATCCCACACTGCTTTCCCAGGCCATAAGCACGTAGCTGAATGGGAAGTACAGCAGCCAGGATGTGTACCAGTGCCCATATGGGTTGTCAGCACATGCAAGGTGAGGACTTAACCATTGAGCCATTGCATCAGGCCAAAAATTTAGAAACATTTCATTTTAGGTGCTTTCTGCAGCCAGCATCCTGGTGTCATGAGTTAAGCTGCCTTCAATGCAAGTATCAGCTCCAGCTCCCTGTACAACACCTGGTAAAGCAGAAGACAGTCCAAGTCCTTGGGGGCCCACACACCCACGTGAGACAACTGGATGAGACTCCCGGTTTCAATGTGGCCCAGCCATGGCCAATACAGCTATTTTGGGAGTGAATAGAGAATCTCTCTAACTCAGACTTTAAAATAAATAAATCTTAAAAAAAAATCTCGGGTGCTTTTAATTTATTCTTCCTTCCTCCTTTCAAATTGTATTTAAGAGGA